AAGAGGGAGGGGAAGGGGGGGGGGGGGGTAGGAGGGAGGGTTTGAAAAGGTCCCTACCATGGCTGGGCTCCAGCAGTAAACTCTGACTGTGCCTGAAGCTCCATTTCCCCCCTCCCCTTCTCCCCCCCCCCAACTCCGCCCAACAGTCCCCACATCTCTCCTTCACCTTGATGGGGTGCATCGGTGAAGACCAGTCCCGAAGGCAGCTCTTGGCCTTGCCCGACTGTCCACCCCCTGCCCAGGTCGCTCTGGAGGCCACCTTGCAAAAAATAAAAAGGGTGGTGGGCCCTGTGGCGGTGGCAGCTGGTCGGCAAAGGGAAGGCCAGTCCTGAGCAGATGATCCGAGGGCGCCAGCCACGCTCTTCGGGCACAGGAGCCGCGCGAAGGCAGTCAAGTCAGTTCTGCTGTAAAATGAGGTTTTCCAGTTCGTCTGCCGAGCGGAGCAGGAAGGCCGCCGACTCCCGGTAGCCGGCGATCAGCTGCCGCACCGCGCTGATCTCGGTGGGACTCAGCTGGGCGGCCGGGCCCCCCCGGTTCGTGCTATTGGCAGGGGCGGGGGCTGCGGTGGTGGTGGTGGTGGCGGCAGCGGCAGCAGGTACTGGACGCTCCACTTTTCATGCTGAGGTCAGTTGGGCCTGCAAAGGAGAAGAGCAAGGGATGGGGTTGGGGGTCAGGAGGGGTGGCCGAAGACCCTGGCCCTTTTTCTTCTCATCCCAGCCCCGAGGTTCCAAATACGGCAGATCTCCGGGACTTTCTGCAGCACAGATCACACAAACCACATTCGGTTTCGTACTGATCCAAGCACAAGCTGCTTTAAAGCAAAGGAGGTTCGGTGGGCTTCGCCATTTCGGCGGAACGGCAGGGCCGGAAAGGGGCAAGGCCACCCCCTGCTGCTGCTTAGCTTTGGAGCGCCCCAGAGCAGGACCTTCCCAACACGGTCTAAGCACGCATGCGCACGCCCGTCTGCCCTGCAACCTCACACCTAGGCTTTGGTAAGAGAGCCCAAGCAAGCCGTGTGCAGCCAGGAGGGAAGCAGAGTCTTGGTGAGCTGCCTGCAGGTGCAAGCCCCCCCCCCAAGCCCTGAGGCCGTTGCTTCCAGAAATTCAAGGCAGCTGCCGTGCAGACACACACAGACACCCAGACACCCCGCCCCAGGGTGCATCTGAAGGGTGCTGGCGACCAAACCAGCAACCGAGCCCAGAAGCAACCAGTTGCCGATCTGTGTGTTCTGTGCCGTCAAATGGGAACCCACTTAAAGTGACCCTAAACAGGGCTCCTTTTGAGGCAAGTGGAGATATTTAAGGTGTGGTTTTCCCATTTTCCTCTCCCCCAGTGAAGCTTCCGTGGCCGAGGGGAGATTTGAACCCTCTTCTCCATAGACTTGGTCCATGGCTCTATCCACCGCACCACACCGGGAATCCGTATATGCCGTTGGTTCCCAGTTATAAAGATGTATAACTCTAGATGGTTTACTCCCGGAGGCAAGGAGGATGATGGTGCAGGCCCTTCTCTGGTCTGGAGCAAAGGCTGCCCCCAGGACGCTTAACTACGAATCTTCACCAGTGGAAGAGAATTCGCTTGCTGGATCCCTTTGCCGGCCATGCCAGCTGTGGGCAGCGCAAGCCGATATCATTCTCTTACAAGGACGACGACCGCAGAGATCCCGTCAGGATTTCTGACCATCTTTCCAAGGAGTTGCCCTTAAGTTTTACACTTAGGAACTGTGCAACCTCACTGCCTAATAGTGGAAGACGACCTCCTACGTTCGTACTCGGTCATGCTAGACAAGAAACATTCATATTTTTAAATCTAAAGTTATTCCTCAGAAGCAAGTTTTTAAAAAAATAATGCCACGATAAACTACGTTTTAAGCCTATATATATATAGTGATCAAGAGGGGCTTTTTCTGTTCCCCCTGCGCCCCACTGCTGTGGGCTGCCAGGACTTGAACTCAATCAAAGTTTTGCAGCTGGGCAACAGGGGCGCCCAGGAGAGCCCACGGAGCCCAGGACGGCTCTGGATGAGGCCTCAGGGGCCGTACAACAAGGGGCTCCCTGAGGGGGGTGTCTCCGTCCTCCTCTTTCCCTTCCAGATGTGCATGAGATCACAGCCCCGCTTCCAGGTCTGCTCAAGTCTCCTCTCCCTTGTTGCTGACACGCGGAACAGGGATTGGGTCGCTAGCCCACCGCCTCCTGCCGGGCGGCTGAAAGGAGGCCGCCAGGGCAAGGACCACTTCCACCTCCACCTTTTTGCCCCCTGGGTGAAAAGAGAAGGCCTGCACGGGCCCCTCGGCGGCCCATCAACAGCTTGCTGGAAGGCTGACAAAGGCCCTCTTTCCTTCCAACCAAGGTCTCCACGGGGACCGTTTACGGGAGTGCCGTGCGAGAAGCCAGCGTGCGTTTGCAAGCCTCACCCACCCCAGGACGGCACACGCACAGAGACCTTGTGGCCAGAAAGGCCTCCGAAAGGGGGCCCCTTGATGCTGGAAACGGGAGGCGTCCTGGCGCTGGCACGTGCCAAAGGGACTCACGCAAACAAGACTCTCTGGGGAGCTGCCACCCCCACTCCCACCCACCCCCCGGCCAGCTGTGCTGAAGGCCAAGGAGCCGGGCGCTGGGCCTTGAAGCAAAAAGCACCCTCTCCCTTCGTTGCAGATCACCGGGCGTCCTTGCCTTAGAAAAGCGCCCTGGCCGACTGGCCGGCTGCTCACAACCCCGTACAATCGCGGCTGTGTGTCATCAGATGGGGTTCTCGAGAGGGAACAAAAGGAGGCAGGCGCCCTGAAGAAGAATGGAGGGAGGAGCAAGGCTGGCACAGGGAGGTGGGCAGGTGCCTGGATTGTTCGAATAAAATAAAGAGCGTTGGTGGGAGGGGGAGGGGGGGAGAGAGAGAAGGGGAGAGATGGAGGGGGCCTTGCCCCCCCCTCTCTCTCAAGAGAGGAAAGCCCCTCGGGAGCCATTCGCTTGCTCCCGTTTCCATGAGCCTCGGCAGACGGCTAAACCGGCAGGAAGCAGAAAAAGGAGCGTGCACGCAGCCCACAAGCCACCGAGAGTCGTGGCCGCTCTGCAAAACAAGGCCCGAGGCGGTCTGGCAGGAGCACCACAACGCAGCCTCCTCGGTGCTGGGGAACCAGCCGGCAAGGCAAAGAGACGAGAGGGCCACGCTTGGGCCCCTGACGGGGGACGGGAGCTGGGCTGCCCAAGGC